TCCGTTGTTCGTGTCGCTATTTGCGCGAAGCGGGACTTTGCAATGCAGGGCCCGACCACCGCATGCTCGCCTGATGCTCGTACGGTGGGTTTCTACCCGCTCAGGTTATGGGCTCGCGGACGGGTAAAGGAGGTAAGTGCGCCGTTTCTAGGAAATGGGACGTTCTCTGACGCGCTTGTGTTTTCCCTTTATCGATCTTCCCTAGGTGGCAGAGGCGCCTGGCTCCGCTGTCTTCTTCCCGAGGCTCGTGTTGGTGCTGCTGTGGCGGCGGCGGCACCCCGTCGTGGTGCTGAGGGGGGCTGAGCACTTCACTATTACGAGTGTCAGTATGTGCGTTGATTTGAGTTGAGGGATGTGTCCAGCAGATTACCAATCTGTTTCGGCTGTACGGGCGATTAACTGGTCGGTTGCTATCGGTTGTGGTGTCGTGACTCTTCCGTATGCCGTAGTTTGTGGAGCATCATCCTATTGTGCTTTTCATGTCGCGGTACGGTACGAGGATTAGTGATAACTGCACAGTGGGCTTTGGCCGGAGGCTGGCGGCACAGCAACAGCAGCAGCAGCACTGTGTCGTACCGTCGAGATATATTGCGCGCTTGATTTGCTATGAGCCGGTAATAGACACATCACACGCTGACTTGTCCACACACACGCCCTCCCCGCTTGTTTCTCACTGTATGTCCGCATGAACCTGGTCCTGCAATCAACATGATGGTCCTGCTGCTGCTGCTGCTGCTACTGCCGGAGTTGAGTACCTTCAAGAGCTGCGATTACTGGCGGGTGCCTGAGGGAAATTTCTTGCGAATCTGTGTATGGCAAGGAGCAGAGGTGCCGTTAGGCCAGAGGTGAAGCCAGTGCGGCGGCGGTGGTCGTGGAACTGGTGGCGGTGGATGGCGCGATGGACATGGATAGGGTGTCTATATTTTAGATTCGGCCCCGGTGACCTATTTCCATGTGGGTTCGAGCCCCACCGTGATCGAGGCTACAGCCGAGCTCGCGGCTAAAGCTTCACCTTGTCAACACCTCTATTTTCTCGTTTTTATCCAATAGATATGTCTAGCAGAAGATAAGGAGAAACTGCAGTAGCAGCAAAGTGCGGTTGTCCAATACGCGCTGGATGAGAAGCGGCGCCAGTAAGCGCCACATCCAGGCCGCGTGCCGTTGGTGTGTAAGTATTTCAACAGTTCGTAGTGCCCGCGTGCGCTTTGGTCGTCAAGCCCTGCACCCGCGTCGGCTCCCTTGTTGTGTGCACTTCGGTATCTTACCGTTACATTGCCACCATTTATCTATGACGCGGCAATTGTCATTTTAGGAGACTTCGGACTGGAAAATTCACCGGCAAAATTGAAAATAAACACAGGAAGGCAGGATCTGCCAGGTAGCGGCTGCAGGGTGAAGATATGACCCCCCTGTCCCATACATCATACATACACTCTCTTGCACTTGGATGTGTCGGACCGTCTGTCTTGCAGCCACCCTGTGGACCACTATCAGGCTACCGCAGCTCGGTCGCCACCATGGAGGCAGCTGCTGATTACATATTGTCACTTGGTGTTGGGATGACAGCACAGTGATGGAGCTGATCATGAACTTGTTGGAGCAAGGGATGGATGGCAACAAGTGATAGGGAACGGAAATGTGGCGGGAAGGGGCTGACGGGCGAGGGTGAACGGGAGGGATATAGGGTGATAGGGAGCTGGGCGGTGCACGATCTCGCTGCTCACAGCAGTGCTGGGTGACAATGATGGTGCATCGATGGATGACCTCGAAAGAAGAAGCTACGGATGGCTTAGCCCTGTCAAAGGAAAGCTCCCCATGATAGTTCCATGGCGCCCTTGTTCGGGCCGCAGTTCCTTTTGTAAGCAAACGTGACTTAAAGCACCTTAGATACTCAAGAAGAACTTCAAGAACCATAACGCTGTATCAATAGCTCTTGGCACTTCCGCCATGGGCAGATTACGTCAATCGCCCGCTATGCCACACAAGCAAAAATGAAGCAACGGCCTTCATGATAACTTGACCTGTTGTTTGCAAGGGCTTGCACTTAGGGATCTTGCTTCCGGGGAGGACGTAACCAGGTGCAGAGGAACGGAGGTGAACGTGATAATGCAGTGACATACAGCTATAATATAAAAGTTTAATAGGCTAACTGTCGACAAAGTGAGTTCGCCGAACTGCACCTTACCAACACACTTGGATTTGCAGCTGTTGCGCCGTACAATTTAGCTGGCCTCTGACAAAAGGCACCTCCCATAGCACTTCCAGCTCCAATGAAAA